AGTGGTTAGGATAGATATATAGTTACATTCTCTTAATGAATAGAGTGATTTGTTCTAATGGTGTTTGTAAATAGAATATCATGTCTGCATCTTGTACAGCAATTAACCACTAGGAAGAATTCATGCAATGTGTTAATTATTGAAACTGTCCTACCAATTTGCTTTGAAACTATTTCATTGCTATTTTTTTATCAATAAAATTATGAGGGAAAAAAGGAAGATGAAAAGCTCCTATCCTTACCAAAAAGAAAGATCAAAAGGAACAGTAAGCTCAGATTCATGTTGTCTCTCCAACCTTGGCCATAGAGATTAGAATTACAGTTGACATTATTTGAGCAGAAAGGTTCACACAGAATTCATAGTGTAGAGCTACATAGTAAGTATCACACCTGCATATCAAACCTGGATCTTTCTAATTAAACATGTGCTCAACCTTTGAATTCCCAAAGTATATATTGGTATTCCAGGATCTGTAGTAAGTCACAAAGAACATGGTGAAGCTTCTTAGAAAAGCTGTTGTACTTAATAGAAAGTAGATTCAAACATTATTATGTGAACGCAAATAAAATCTCAGTATGGAGCAGAACACACATTCTTTATTAAAATGAAATATTTTGAGGTCAGGCTTCCTTGAGCTTTATCACTAGACACTCTAGGAATCTATGTCCAATCATTCTTTTCTGTTGTTGGCTTTATTTTTGTAGGGTTACCTCAAGAGAAATGTTTATAAAGGTTGGATCAGACAATTTGTGCATCTGTCCAGCTTTGAAATTCTAATGTTTATTCCTAAAGCTTACAACATTCCCTGTTTCCGATGACGTAAAACAATTAAGTAATTAGAAAGATTGCAGCTGTATGCACTAGCAATGGAGGTCCTGAAGTCCTGTCCAGAACGCTGGATCACCAGACCAGTTTGCAAGCTACAGAGAGAAACTTATTGTAGCCTTGAATTTATTATATACTATTATTTATTCAAAGCAGACTCTTGGGCCAACAGGTAGCTCATGTCCGCCCCACCTGTACACCCTTACATTACCATGTTTTCCCAGTCAGAAAGTGTGAAATGCTTTGCAAGCCTAAGTTTTTCAAGGCAGTATGGTCTAGGGCAAGAACTGTCTGCAATTTGCATGTCTGTTTCTACCTGTATAAAGATGAACGTTTAATAGCAGGTTTGTGGGACTTCTACACAGCACCATCTTGATTTCTGGCTCTGTCCTCTGCACTTTATCCCAACTCATTTGGTTGTATGGAGGAATGGGCCCCCTAGGCATGGCTATTTCATTTTTCTTTTCCGTGTGGCAGTGTTGCCCATTCTTAATGTGTCTCCAAAGCTTTGATTCTTCCACTTCTAATGAGAGCTTAGCACAACAGTTCACCTCACTGATGCCCTTTGTGCTCAGCATACCAAGGTGGATATTTGCTGGCTGATGTCCCCGCAGTCTGGATAATGCTCCTCTTCATACTCACTAGGCATATTTTTGAGAACTGAATGTTCAGGCAGGCCTGCTGGCCTAAGAGGTGAAAGAAATTATCCACAGCCTGCCAAGTGACAGACCTGGAGCACTTTTGGAGGCTTGAGGAGACAGATGAAAATGTCAGCAGCACAGTTTTAGAATGGTCTTGCAGGAGCTAGCTCGGTGACCCTGAGAAAGTCACATCAAGTGCTCTGTCTCCTGGGTCCTTGCGACTGAGATGATGATTTCAAATGAATGAAGACATTAAATCCCAGAGTGTCTCAATTAGGTACAAAAGCCCAGGAAATACTTACTAGCAGCATTCAGTTTGCTTTCATTGCTGACTGAAAACATTGCGAACCCTGGGTTTCCAGGGTATGAAACTCCACATTGCAGAAGGCCTCCTAGTACACTGGCGGGGAAAATCTAACTGCCCTGAGTGTTTGAAGTCACTTCAATGTATCAATAGTTGTTAAGGTAGCCCATGATAGCTTGCTAAGAGTAATAAAATTAATGCCTAATCCTTTTGATTTTAAACAAAAGCAAATTTGAGTGTTTAAAGGGCCCAGGAAATAGAAAATAAAAATAGGTGTAAATAAGCAGTCAATGAAAAGTGGAGTAAATAGCACTGTCAAGAATAATCCAAGGGACGAGGGAGATGGCTCAGTAGAATAAGCACTTCCCTGGCAAGCGCAAGGGCCTGAGTTCAATCCCCGGGTCCGCCAAAAAAAAAAAAAAAAAAAAAAGAGAATAATCCATTTATGAATTTTCACTTTTTCAGCCAGTCCTGATGGCACTTGCTGTAGTCCCAGCTACTTGGGAGGCGGGGGTGGGACATCAGTTGAGCTCATGAGTTTGAAACCAGCCTGGGCAATATAGTGAGACCCAAGGTAGTTACTTAAGCAATTAATATGTGTGTTTGAAACAGAATTAAAAGCAGCAGAGAAGCTTAGTGGTTAGATTTATGCCTCAGAGTCAGGTCCCAATTAGGGAACACAGCAATGAACGGTGTCCTTGGCCTACAGCTGCCCTGATGGGAATGACGGTCGCTTTGCGTTGCGTCCTACGCTTTCTATCCCACTGTGTGCCTTGCTGTTTCTCTGCTTTGTGCAAAGGGTTCCGCAAGTACTTGCCATCCTCACGTGTGCCTTCCTGTTTTGGCAGCACTTCGACATGCCTCATGACATTGTGGCATCCGAAGACGGGACTGTGTACATTGGAGATGCCCACACCAACACTGTGTGGAAGTTCACCTTGACGGAAAGTATGTTAAGTGTGTTTGTGACAGTGTCTTCGCCCACTATTTTCCTCTTTTTTTGTTGTTGTTTTGTTTTTGTTTTATAATTTGAAAACGTGTGAAGCTAAAACATTCGCATTTCCTTCTCTTATTTTAATGATGGAAGTAAGAAGTAAAGATGGAGGCAGTAGTTAAAAGATCTATTTGGTTCCCACTTCAGCAATTAAATAACTTTTTAAGCAGTGGAGAGATGTGGGTATGGCAGCACATGCCTATAATCCCGTGCTACTCAGGAAGCCAAGGCAAGGGGATTGCAGATTGGAGCTCAGCCTGGGTGACTTAGTGATTTAGCTAGACCCTGTCTCAAAAGAATAAAAGTATAATAATAATAATGATAATAAGATAAAAAGGCCTTGAGGATGTAATTCAGTGTGAAGGCTCTGGTTTCAATTCCCAGTACTGTGTTGAAAAGCAAAATAGAAAAGTGGAAAGAAATATTTTTTTCCCTTCTGGCAGTTCTCCCCTTGTTTCCACAGATATTCCACAGGAAATTCTTGGTGCCTGAGGTAATGTCTGTTACATTAAAAGCCAACGTTAATTTCAGCTTAGTTCCAGAAGAGAGGGCATTGGCAAGGCAGAGAGCTGCCTCCTTTCCATGAGGCATCGCATCCCCATCATGTCCCACGTGGCTCTGGAGCTCTCGGAGGCTGCTGAGCACCTAGCCGTGCCAGTGTCTGTGTCAGACACAGATTCATCCAAACACGAAGCACTTTGCACTTTCCACGTAGGTGTTAGCTTTCTGCGAATACTGAATTGGTCTGTTTTCATGTAACTCAGAATTTGTCTGGGGACTGATTTGCTCTATCTAGTTTTAGAATTTTCTAATTGCAACTTGGATATAATTCTAATCTGTAAAACGTGTAATACCTAGCCTTTGATTTCAGGCTAAAAGTCACAAGTGGTTTTTTTTTGTTGTTGTTGTTTTTTGTTTTGTTTTGTTTTTAAAGTTGAAGTGCACTAAATATTATGTGGTCACAAACTTCTACATCCAGCGATGTTTTTGAAATGTGGCTATATCTAAAAAATAGGAGACAGCGGGGTTAAGAATCGAGTGCATAGAAAAAGTAACTATAACAAGAAAAATATAATAAGGAAAGAAAGCAAATATTAAAAAAGTAAAGTCGGGAGTCTAAAATCTCTAATCAGATGCAGTCTAGGCCTGGGAGCCCAGCCTGGAACTGTTCTCCTCAGAACTGTCTTTGGAGCAGCTTTGCTTCTTTGGTGAGAAGGACCCAGTTGCAACAGACTGCACACAGGTGCTGGTGGAGTATTCCACCAGAGAAGCAGCTTTACCTTCCCACTGAAAATGTCCTTTCTACTATCTGTGGCTTCAGAAAGAATCCTAATGGTGTGAGCAGGTCCCCACAAAAAAGATGAGTGGGTAATCCCCAAGCCAACTGCATGACTTCACTCCAAGAGATTTAGAAAAAAAATTAAAAGACAGAGAAGACTTTGGTAATACAACACATAGCTTCCTTCTTCAAATAGGAATGTGATTCTTGAGCTGACCAAGATTCCAGTCGAAGGCATTTCCACCACCGCAGGGGGTGATGCCCAACCAAGATGCCTACCTGAGTCCGTCACTTCTGTGTCACTGGGTCATGGTACTCAATACCCACAATTTAAGGAAATTTAATTAGGAAATTTAATTTAGCTCACAGCTCAAGGGATTCATTCCATGGCTGACTGACTGGAATGCAGAAACATCTCAGCTGAGGGCATGGTGGAGCAGAGATGCTTAGTTCATGGTTGCCAGGATGCAGTGTGGTGAACAACACCAAGGAAGAAGTAGTGAGGTACCAGCTTGCCCACATTCAGGCCTCCATTAGCAGCTACATACCCAGAAGTGTGTTTAATCTCATCGTGTTCCTTAATCCAGTCAGGCTGACATACCAGGATTAGCAGTCCTGCCTGACAGGATTTTCAAACTATACATGGCCAGTCTGCTCAAGGCCTATTAAATGAAGAGGAATGATGTTGTCTATATTTTGGAATGCCTTCCCAAGTAATTTTGAAAGCACTGCACTGTAGCTACAGCTTGAAAGTTAAAGAGCCCTCTGCATAATCCACCACATAGTGAATCTGGAAAACAGTATCTCTGGCACAGCACGACTGGTATTGGAGAGGAATCAAGGGTCTTATGTATTTGCATTCTAATATTCAGTCAAGTTCCTTATGTCAGTTACAATACTGGTGATTCGTTGTGGCAAAACTGGTAGTCAGTCTAAGATACTGCTACAGGAAAAAAGAACTACTTGATATTTCAGATCCAATATGGTATTACAAACTATACAAGGAAAAGTTCACTCAAAAACTTCTTAGAAATATTCAGTCTTTCTCCAGGAACTTTTACCCACGATGCCCACACCTAATCCCTAACTAATAGTTCATGTCTGACTCTTTATTAATGTAATGATGCACTTGATGGATTAGGAAATACTTCCTATGTAAAAAACAAAATTAAAGAGAATTAAAAATGGTAAAAAAGAAACATCAGAAACAGTACAGAATTTCACTAAACGAAATTACAGGACTTCAGTAATTGTTGTTATGTTGAATAAGGCTAATGTCAAAGCTGAGTTCTGAAATATACTTTTTGAGGATTCTCATTTTCTGCTCTTCGTGCTTTGTTACAGAAATGGAACATCGATCAGTTAAAAAGGCTGGCATTGAGGTCCAGGAAGTAAAAGGTTGGTCACATTCTCTTGTAACTGTGACGCCAAAGGCTATTTGTGTTGAATTGTTTTATGGCTCTTTATTACAACTTTAAAAATTACCAGTCTAAAAATAAAATCTGGTAAGTTATCCATGGCTTCTCTGTATGCCAAGCCTTTAAACCTGCATGTTGCCATTTTTCTTTCTGATAAGTGGAGTAGTTGTAAGAATATCAAATCACTGATTTCAAGTGATGGAATGTGATTGAGGATATCAGACATTTATAACTAGTTAGCCAGACCCATTTAGAGCGAAAAAAAAGTCAGCCGGTCACTCTTAAAAGTATTTAACCTCAAGCAAGCAGGAAAATGCTGTTCAATGTAATGGGAAAGGCCTTTTCTTAATGGACTTTAATGTAAAAGATTGAAAAATAACTTTGGTGAGTTAATGCCATTGGGATGTAGAAAAAATTAGCTGCTCCCTAAGCTCCTATCCTAGTACCACTCATTTCTCAAGATTTATTGAGGGCTTCTATCAGAAAGGAAGTATAATAGATCTAAGGGAAATGCACCGCTTCCTAACCTCAAGACAGTACAGCCAATATAAAGCATGAGAGAGGTAATGCACAAATGAATATGCCTATATGCAAATGAGTACCTCATTGAGATGCAGTGTCAGGAATGGGGAAACGAGATTTAGCTACTGGTAATCAACCGCTGGGTTCATTTGTATCTCTGTCAAATTATTTTCTCCCTCTCTTAGAAACAGTTTATGTGTCTAGGTTTTTTTTATTGTCTTGCCGTATGGACAAGTCATTTATAATTAGGAACTCACCATATTTCTTGTTAAGTATTCCTAATATTTAAGTAACAAAGAAATTCCATTAACAGTTGTTTTACTAGTGATTTACCAAGATATTCAAACTTAACCCTCGGCCTGTGTGAAAGCAGGTTGAACAGCGATGAAAAGAAGCAAGAGCCAAGAGAGAATCTAGGTATTTAATGTGGGCAGATAAGAAAGTATAGCTGGCCCAGCGTTGAAAGGCTTAAGATAATGTAACAGAAATAAGCCCTAGTTGATTGGCCTTTGTAGAGATTCTGCCTACGTGGCCTACTGAGTAGCATTCATAGCACATTCATGTACTAAAGAAGATTCCGGATCTTCTAGTTTTCTGACATTGCTCTACAGTGAATTATTGATGTTATGTTTGTCCTGAAAAAGATTTTGGAAAAGGCATAGTTAATAACGCCTGTCACTGCATAAGATAGACAGTGGGCTATGCAAAAATCTTCAGATTTAATCTTTACACCAGCCATGTGCTAGCTACTGTTATCTGCAATATATATATATATGGATCCAAATTACTACTTAGATATTAAGTACTAGACCCCCTTTTTTATTTGTTTGATTTTTGTTTGTTTTTGAGGCTCTGGGGATTGGACCCAGGGTCTTCACACTGAGCTACATCTCCAACTGTCTTTCTGTTTTTGGTTTGGTTTTTATTTTTTTAAAGATAGGGTCTTTCTCTGCAGTTCAGGGTGTCTTGAGTTCACTACGTAGCCTAGCAGGATTCAGACTTGCAATGATCCTGGGATCCTAGGGGATGAGAGAGAGCTCAGTGGCATAAGCAACTGCCTGCCAAGGACAAGGCCCTAAGTTTGATCTCCAGTATCCCCCCCAAAAAAAATTGTTGGGTTTTTTTTTGTTGTTGTTTTTTTGAGACAGGATTTCTCCACATCATTGAATTATCCAGACTGAGCAGGAGCTTGCCATCCTCCTGCCTCAGTCTCCCAGAATCCTGGTTTTATGGATTTGAACCATTATGCCTGTCTTCAAGCCAGATTTTAAATTTGCTTGCTGTGGAACACTGTCATCTTAGCCACTATTTCAATACTTTTGAGGAGAGATAGATCCCACCTGTTCATTCACTGTAAAGTCTTCCAAGAAAAAGGTTAGAAATGCTTGTGCTTTACTCTGAGATCTCTCAGACCTCAAAGTAGTCTCTCATTATTTCTGCCTACATAGATCCCACCAAAAAATTCTTGGATGAAAACACCCCACCCGTACTGACCTCATCCTGGCTGGTCAGTGGAGAGTGAAGAATGCTCTCCTCAGGGGCATTTCCTCTTTCCTCAGTGCACACCACGGAGTCCATTCAGTCAGAAAGCCTTCCTTCTTTGTGGCCAAGCCTCGCCATGCTGATAGTAAATGTTACTGAATCGTCTTGACATAATAGGCCAGTTTTAGCAGAAATGCTCCAAATCAAATAGAGTTTACTCTTTCCTTCTATGAGCCCATATAGCTCATTGAATCTTTTTTGTAAGATTATGTTTTAAGTCATGCTATATTTCTGGATCCTATCTTTTATCAAAATTATGAAGCTCAATTTGAACTAACCCTTAAAACAGAGAAGCAGGAACCCCATACCAGATATAACAGCCCCATGAGGCATGTTCATTTAAAATCTGCTTTTGATGACACTTCTTCTGTGAATGGTCCCATAACTGAACAATAATAACAGGGTTTGGAGCCCATGTCCTAGGGGATTTATGAGAATAAAAAAAAAACTGGGGATTATAAAAAAAATAGAAAGGGATTTAGGAAAGGGATTTAAATTTTTAAATAAGTCATCAGACATAAACTAGTTATCCCACCAAAAGCATGGCTTCCATTTACCCCATCTCCAAAGAAAAAATTATGATCATGAATCAGTTTCAAGAAAATTAAATCAAAACTCCTTGGTATGATTAGCTTTAGGCTTATGTAAAACACATTATAGGGAAACATACTGCATTAAAAGAGAGAAAGTGATTTCAAAAAAAAAAAAATATATATATATATATATATATATATTCATTCATGTCTTCCAAACTGTTACTCACTAGCAAGACATCTAAAACCTACAACCGTCAGTTTTGTCCATGGCAAAGTGGATAGTAATTGCTCTGTTGGTGTATAAAAACAATTCTTCTCTCCGGCCCCAGTTATTGCAGTTCCTTCAGAGAGATACATACACTTATATGTATGCATCTTTCCTAAGCTTCCTTTCCTAAGTGCTTTGCTTTAAAGAACAAAACTTTTCATACATCAGCCATGAAAATCATGTGTATTTACAAATATCTGTAGAGATGCTATAAGAGCATATAATAGTACCAGATTTTAAAAGATTTTTGCTTTAAATAAAATTCATCTGTCATCACATATGAAGCATGTTCTCTACCCTTTAATCTCCAATAAAGCCCATGTTCTGGATATTGGTAGAGTGCCTGCACTCCTCAGTTATCAGGAATACTCCATGTAGGGCCGGCCAGATAGTTCAGTGGATTAAAGTGCCTGTAGGCAGGCGTAGGGGCAAGGGTTTGATCCTCAAGCCTGCCATGCCAGCCCTACCCCTGGGGTGCGCTGAGATGGTAATTGAGACTAGGCGTGGTGACACATGCCTGTAATCCCAGCACTTGAGAGGCTGTAAATCAGAGAATCATTGTGAGTCCAATCTAGTAGTGAGACCCTGAACACCCTGTAGACCCTTCCCTAAAAAAAATGCACACATACACACAACACACACACACACACACACAAAAGGAATATTTGGGCTGGAGAGATAGCTCAGTAGAATAAGGGCTTGCCTGGCAAGCTCCAGGGCTTGAGTTCAATCCCTCATTCCGAAAAAAAAAAACAAAAACAAACAAAAAAAACTATGCAACCTCCAGTAACTGTGGGCTAAAAAATGGAATTCTGCATGTTAATGAGATTTTTAAATAAAAGAATTAGGATACCAACTGAAAGTGGCATGATTTGGGTCATTTATGCTTTGGGTGGATTTTGCTATCAGTTTGAAAATTGATATTTTAAAAAATTTTAATTTAATTTTTAATTTTTGAAATAAATCTTTTGAATTAAAACATGTGTTATTCAAGAAAGAGAGAAAGCATGGTCTCCTCTTTTCTATAGTACAGGGAAGGCTATCAGAACTTTATATGCAAAATGATAATGACAATAGGGCCTGCTCATAGGTTTGGTGTGAAGTAATTAAAGGTAAGCAATACCTGGCAGTGTGGATGCTCAACAGATGAATCAAGACTGGAGTGGAGGCTACTCCAGAACATTAAAGCAACATATTCTACCTGCCAGTTATCTGGTCTAGAAATTGTATTCATAGTGTCTGAAGTAATTTGAGAAACATTTCCTTGGTAGAGGAATAGCTATTAAACTAAGCCTGTACATACTGAACATTAACCACTGATTTTCCAGAATGTTTTGTATTGTCCAGCCTTGCCCTTGGGCAGACTCTTCATGAGACTTGTATTAGCTTCTTTCTCATTGCTCAGACGAACTATGTAATGCCCAGGGTTAAAGGTGGAAAGGTTTATTTCAGCTCCCAGACTGCAGAGGTTTCAGTGCATAGTCAGCTTGCTCTAAGGCAGGGCAGTATGGAAGAGAAGCATCACAGAGGAGAAATGGTCTATGATATGGCAGGGCAGGCAAGAAGCAGCAGCAGCAGCAGCCAGCCTTTTCTCTTTATATTCCATTCACAGTACATGCCTATTGATTGGTGCACCACACTCAGGGTGGGCTTCCATTGTCCACCCCTAGAACTGTGCTGAGCCCAGTTAGTGGGCTTTAGTACCACACACCTCAGTCACAGTATTCCATGCCCTAGACGCAGCCATCTGCGAGTGTGAGAGGCTTCGGGCGGTGGCAGGGGGGGGGGGAACCTCTAGATACAAGCCATAATAAGAGCTTATCATGTACTCTGTATTTTAGGGTTGGAAGTAAACACCAAAAAAGTTGAAACTTCAGAGACCTTGTGAGTCTCCTGGCAAACATGATTGTAACTTTTAGCCTGGACAAATTGGGTTTTTTTTTAATCAGCCTTTGTACCCTGAGGTTTCTGGTCAAATGCATGTGCTTTGTAGGGCAAGAATGTCTCAAGGCCCAATGTCATCTTCAAATTAGTAGTTATTTAGATCACTGAGATAGTTTGCAGAGTATTATTGCATCAGCTTGTCAACAGAACTTTACACCTGATACCTACCTAATACCTGAGAATGTAACAGAATAATGGTATAAATTACTTGTATTACCGGTAAATGGACATACACTGCATTTTTGAGCAATTACATTTTGCTGAGAGCTATGTGAAAGACACTGGATACAATTCCTTTTTCTATTTGTAATCCAAGAATTAATGTGTGAAACTGTGCATCTAAAGTATCACAAATTCATTGAACATGAAAGACATTCATAAACCAAATGCATAAGGAGACAAGTATTTATTAAGTCCTTTTCTCAGACACAGGTTTATCTATAGCATTTTTATGGAGAAGATATTATTATCAGGGTTTTACAAATGAATTACTAAGTCCCAGAAAATGTAAGTAACTTGCCCAAAGTTATGCAGCTAGTATACAGAAGAGATCGGATTTGAGCTTAGGTTTAATCCCAGTATACACACCAATCTTTTCCCCATACACATTGTTACCTGTGAATTTCACTTTGGAAAAATGTGAAAAAATGATACATGTTTTATGGAGTTAGAGCTATTGAGGGGATTAAAGATAGGACCAATGAAAACCATTCTGAAGGTAAAAAGATCATTCAGTGGGCATAACTAATCTCTGTATCTGCTGCCACCTTGGTAGAGTCGGATGCTGTAGTACAAAGTCCACATCCACTGGACTCACCAAGTTCTTTGTGAATGAGTATTGCTTGGACGGACAGGGGTGGGTGAGAGGGTGTGGGAATCTTTGAGTCAGTTGAATATTGTGAACTCTTCTCTCCCTGAAGAAGCCGAGGCAGTTGTTGAAAACAAAATGGAGAACAAACCCACCTCCTCAGAATTACAGAAGATGCAAGAGAAACAAAAGCTCATCCAAGAGCCAGGCTCGGGAGTGCCCGTTGTTCTCATTACCACCCTTCTGATTATTCCGGTGGTTGTCCTGCTGGCCATTGCCATATTTATTCGGTGGAAAAAAGCAAGGGCCTTTGGAGGCAAGTAAAATGAGCCCCTAAACTTGGAACCTGCCTTTGGAAAATGTTTGGCCTGATTATCCTCAGGAGTTTGGTTGTGTTTTTTATTTTTCTTTGTCTCTTTATTGTTTTATTTGCTTTTAATGACCCTGCCTTTTTGATATTATTTTCTGTGTTCCACATACTGTCTATAATTAATATCATAATAGGAAAAAAATCGGAACCATCTGAGATTTAAATAATTGCATTATAATACAACTTTAACATTGCCAATTAACAGCTGGCCTAAGTATAATTTAATATCTTTATATAAGTGTGTAGCTAACAGAACCAGTGTAAAGTAATGGATGGCCCAGGGAAAGAGGAGAAGGACATTCCTGCTGTTGCCAAGAGGCCTGGTCCTCAGGCTACTTGAACCAGTTATGTTGAGATGTATCTTTTTCCCCATAAGACTGGCTATAGTGATGGGGAGATGGCTTAGTAGAAAAAGTGCTTCCCTGGCAAGCACAAGGACCTGAGTTCAATCCCCGGTTCCACGAAAAAAAAAAAAAAGACTGGCTGTAGTTCCTAGCTACATGACATTGGGCAAGTTACTTATTCTCCCTAAACCAATTTTCTCGTAAATAAAATGGAAATAAAATATGTACTTCACAAGGTTGTACAAATATTAAACGGAATGATATGCATAAAGCTTTCCCACAATACCCAGCACCTAGTAAGTACTCAGGATCATCAGTGTGCTGATTGATTACTCTGGTTATCAAATCATGAGAGATACTTGTCTCAAATCTCAGCTTTTCACAAGAGACCGCCTCTTCCTATACCAAAGCACTTAATAGCTTTTGAATAATTAAAATTTCATCTACCATAGCTGAGCAAGGCGTGGTGCAATGTTGGAGTTAGTATTTTATAACATTGCTATCACAATCTAGAACTCAGAGCCAAGTTTCTCTCCAGACAATTAAAAAAAAAAAAAAACAACAATGGGCCCAAGCCTTGTTTCCAGCCCCTGAGTGGCAGTCCCTAGGCTGTGTCCCACATCTTCAGGCATGCAGCTACTGCTGCCTCTCGGGATGAGGCCCAAGATGAGAGGCAGCATATGATCAGGAAACAGCATCTGATCCTTTTGCAGGTCAAGGCAGCCATGACCAGGATTCAGTGCCCATGGCAAGACCCTGCCACTGAAAAATACACAAAAGCAAAACAGAGGACTTAATAAGTTGTCAAGGGGAAATTTTCCCTGGCCTTTCTTTTGCTACTCATTTGTACTTATAGATCTTTGCAAAGCTATAGTTAACTTCTCCCAGAAAAGACTTACACTGAGCCACTGGTACAGATCTGGAGCTGTCATAAAAACAGACAATTAAAATGGTTGGGATTCAATAAATAGTTGCTGGCAGAAGGAATGAACAAACAAGTGGACTTCACAGAATAGAAGACACATAAAAAATGGCATGTGAAAGCTAAAATGGACAGTGGTAAGTGTGACAATAAATGCACATTATATTAGGAGCACTCTGGGCTTGCAACGGATGGCAAGCATGGTACCCATCCCAACCTGGAAGAGGGAGTGACATGCACAGTTAGGTCATGCTCACTTCATAGAAACCTGTTGGGGTGATCAAAGCCCATGAGATCACCATTTTCAACCATGTTTGATTTAGAACTACACTTACTATGATTCATTTTATTACATTAATTTCTAAAAGTAGAACAGCAACCTCACACTTTTATTCAACATTTGTTTTGGGAAATATTATCTGTATAGGTTTTTAGAAACCCTTCCAGAGGACCTTCACTGTTCCAGCACTCCCTTATGTGTCTTACACTGATGTTCCATGCCACACCCTGAGTCAGACTGGGGAGCTGTGTGCAACTGGGCAAGGGGTTGCCTGCATCCTTGTAGAACTGGCTGTGATTTCTGGCTTCCTAACAGTTGCCACTCTTTCTTCCCTTCTTGCCTATTTCACTCACATCTCCCTTTCTATCTTTTCACTGCTACCTGCCTAATAATCCTGTCCAGGACAGGACACTGCCACCTCTTGCAGTGAGAGACTTAACAAGGCCACCCTGAGCCTAGCTGCCCTCTCAGTAGCCCTTGAGAGAGTAACAGAAGCAAAAGAAAAGGTTCAGGGCAATGTCCAGCCAAGAGAAAGGGGAATCCTGCAGAAAGGCTGTCTTCCCCATGAGAGGGTTGATTCTTCATGAAGAGGGAGCCATAAGGGCAACTTTTAGGTCACTGTGTGGACTTGGAAAACAATCAGGACTTCACTTGTAAGTGGAAATGATGGACATGGACCCAGTGCTTCGTCAAGTAGGGTACATACTATTCTTCATAGAGTAAAGCCCAACACAGGCATTCTAAACTATAGAAATCAGTTTCCAAATTTTTACACATTATTAGTAACAATACTATCCTAACACAATAACTAAGATTTATCAGGAATTCACTGTAAATGTCCCAGACACTGTCCTAAGTGTATCCCATGGAGAGATACATATTATCATTGATCCCCCTTTCTTAGAGAAGGCAAGGCTCAGGGAATTTATCAAGACTGCATAGTAAGAGACACAGGCAGGAGTGAAACCATTATATACATCATGATATGTATGCATCGCAGGCCCTGCTTACTTTGAATTGCATATTACCTTATTTTTTCCTTAGAATTGCATGTAGTCAAGATCCCAGCCTTCTTAATCATTTTACCCTTGATTTTATGTTGCAAGTTGAATCCATGGATTGAAGAGGGTGCTTAGGGATGATTTGCAAATCTGCTTTTTACCTTTTTTTTTTTAAGCAGATTCTGAACACAAACTGGAGGCAAGTTCAGCACGAGTGCTGGGAAGATTTAGAGGTATGCCTGTGACCTTTTCAGATTCTTCATATCTGGTTCAAAGTCAACAAGCTCACGTCTTTTAAAGAGCAAGGAGCTATTTCATATTTTACCTCTGAAACTTAAACACCTGGGATGCAGCCTAGCATAATCATAAACTAAGCAAAACATGGGACTCTGGCAACAGATTTCCCGGTTTTATTCTTTCTGCCCCGCCATTCTATACTGTGCAGTCCTCTCGCCAGCCTCTCATCGGCTCTCATTTGTCTTCTGTAAATTTTCTGTCAGTGCTGTCAGCATGTCGGTGCTTGTCACAGTGAAGATGAGCTTTCCATAGGTCATTGAAACGAAGGGCTGCTCCGGGGACGCCAATTCCAGAGAGCAAGGGCAAGCAGAAGGGGAAATCTGAAGCATTCCCACAGATAGACACAACCTTTACCGGGTTCTATCCCCAGCACTGCAGGAAATTCTAAAAATGTCAATAAAATAACGAGTCCTACAGGGGAGAGGGATGTAGGCTTGAGGGAGAGGAGGGTGTGTTCATTGTTTATTTTACATAACTCAGCAGAGTGACTTCCATCTGCTTCTGCAGACTAAGTCTCTGGCACGCGTTCTTTCATCTACCCTTTCCCAACCCCAACTTCTGACTCTGCTAACCACTTAAGAATTTATAAGGAAACTCTTTTACATAAACTTTTTTTTTTTTTTTTTTTTTTTTTTTTTTTTTTTTTTTTATGATTTCCTTTCTTCAGGAAAGGGCAGTGGAGGCTTAAACCTTGGCAATTTCTTTGCAAGCCGCAAGGGCTACAGTCGGAAAGGGTTTGATCGCCTTAGCACAGAGGGCAGCGACCACGAGAAAGAGGAGGACGGAAGCGAATCCGAAGAGGAGTACTCAGCACCTCTGCCCACACCGGCCCCTTCGGCCTCCTGAAAACCAGGCTCTGACTGCGTTTGAGTGAGATTTCTCAAGAACACCGGATTCCTTTCCCTTCAGCACGTTTAAAGTTCTGTGCATTTAATTATAAACTGTACTAGTCTATGTGGGACGGTACACATTTTATTTACTTTGATTTGGTTAAGTTGGCTTCTGTTTCTAGTTAAGGCGTTCCCTAAAAATCCGCAACAGTGCCATTGTCTTTACACGAACATAGAGTAGAGAAACCGTCCTCTTCTTCCATTCCAGGACTAATCTAGCGATGGAAGGTTTGCTCCTTTCCATTTTTGAGACTTTTTTGTGGCTGTAAATAACCCCACATTCTCTGCTTGGTCACAGTATTTTCCACTCACTAGCACTCCCATTGCCAGTGTCTTTCTTTGGTGCCTTTCCTGTTCAGCATTCTAAGCCTGAGGCAGTAAAGAGAAACTTTGTGCTAGACGAGGACAGAGCTGCTAAATCTCCTTCTATTTTTTTAAAATCACTAACATTATATTGCAATGAGAGAAAGAAGAAAGTCTCTATTTAAATCCTTTTTTTAATTTCTTTTTCAGTTGGTGTGTTTTTGGGATGTCTTATTTTTAGATGGTTACACTGTTAGAACACTATTTTCAGAATCTGAATGTAATTTGTGTAATAAAGTGTTTTCAGAGCATTAGCTGCCAGCGTGTATTTTGCAATTTCTGTGTATTTTCAGAGCGTTGTGCACAACTTTTGTAACAATTACATGGACCACAGATATGGTAACACTTGCTCACTGTCTTTAACTAAAGGAAATATGTTGTACTGTATACAATTTAGAAGAAATTTTATGTAGCCAATGTAAAGTAAAACCCAATTTAAGAGTCTATGCACAGGTATACAGCCAGGTTTTCTCTGAAAAATCATGGAGGATTTTTGCCTGTAGCATTTCAATGAGAAAGTAAATACTTTAATAAGTATGATGATAGCCAAGAGGAAAACTGCGTCTCAAATTACATTGTAAGGCAATCCATCAGGGTAGATTATAATAAATAATTACCCTTTAAAGAATAATTTCTTCAAAATCCCTATATAGCTATATGATATAGTAGGAGTGTCCTTTTTAGAACACATTTTTCATAATCCATCAGTGCAATATCATAAAAACCTGATTATTTTCCATTTTAAAATGAGTAGACACTAGAACTCTCTGTCTTCAGAGTAACTATGTGCATTTTAGCTGCTTTGGTACTTGGAATATAAGACATTTCATTACTCGTGAAAGCGATGCATGGTACTTTATTGAAAAATTACATTAGAATATCTTCTAGCTATGCTGCTTTTTAAATCTAATTTAATATAAACCACTTTTCCTCATACCTGTTACCAAAGATGACCTGAACTCTTGTCACTTTCCATATGCTTACCTCACCCTCTTGTTAAGTGTAATTTGGGCATCAGCCCCAGGCAAAAGCGTCACTATTTTATTCTCAAATTTTAAAAAAAAAAAATGTTTTTCCTCCCTCTGACCTTTTTTTTTTTTTTTTTTTTTTTTTTAGGGAAAGGTCTACAGGGTGTTCAGGGTCTCACTACTATATCAGACTTGTAGTGATCCACCTGTTTACAGCCTCCCAAGAGCTGGGATTATAGTCACACGCCTCCACAACCAGTGTCAATTGCAGTCTCAGTGTGCCCTGGGGGTGGGGCCAGCACAGGATCATTTCTTCATGTTACTTTCAGCAAAGCAATGGTAAATTAGACTCCCAACAGCACCATTCTGGTGTATGGAGGTATGCTTATTCTGTCTTACACATTTATATTTAGATACCAGAATTAGTGCAGTGCCTATGTTTTATACCTTGCCTCTAATGCTTTCCAGGTTTTCTTACACAGAGAAAATTAGTTGATTTGCACCCAAGTCATGCTTTGTAGTGCAGTCCTGATCATTGTCTCCATTAGCTACTCTTTTATAATGATATATAGATTATAGATAGATAGATAGATAGAGAGAGAGAGAGAGAGAGAGATAGATAGATAGATAGATAGATAGATAGATAGATATATATATATATATTGAATCTTGTTCCTTTACAGTGACTAATCAGTGAGGAAAAAGTTCAGTGCTAACATACCAAAAGGCAAGAAATAAAATGAGAAAACAAATAGAAAAATTGATACAAAAGTAAGTCCTATTACAACTGCTGATGGAGAACAAGCTTGGCTTGAGACTTTCCCATAGCTCATTAAGTAAAACTTGATCCTTTACATAAACTTGAGGTCAGAAATATTAGCTATTTTAGTGTCTTCTAAAAGCACCATATGGTGTAATTAAAGCCTCAAAAGAGCCAGCAAGATAGCTTAGGAGACTAAGCGCCTCCTTGGGCAAGCATAGGGACCAGGGTTTGATCCCCGGCACCACCTGCTGGACTGGCCCTGCCCCCTGGCATTGCTGAGCCAGGGACCCATTCTGGGCATGGTGGCACACGCCTGCAATCCCAGTACTGGGGAGCCAGAGAATAGGAGGGATTACTATGAGTCTGAGCTCATAGTGAGTAGTGAGACCCTGTATAGTGAGACCCTGTGCCAAATACATAAAAAGAATCCTTGAACAGTAGACCTAAAGCCAACAGTTGCTTTTTATGGGCCTGCTCTTGCATATCTTTTAACATAAGCACATGATATCATGAAAAGAGATACTTGGAAAAAGAAAGTCTGCTTCCATTATGTCCTGTCCTATTGCACTGCCCTTTTCTATTAATCTGACTTAATTAAAGGTAATAGGCTAGAAATAAGTAACCCAAATTGACTTCAGGCAGTTAACCACTGGATAGTGTTCTTCGTTCAATGTCACTTATTGAGTCAGAGATTGTACAGCCTGGGAAGGGGCCTAGAGGAGTGGATCTTAGCTCTGACTTGATAGTAAAATCACTTGGGGAATTTAAGAAAAAATAGTGGGCTTCCTTACAAACAATCTTGATTTATAGTAGTTACATAAGACATCTGTATGTCATTCTCCAGAGGTGACTCTAATGTACAGCTGCAGTGAGAAATCTGGCCTCTGAGAATGGCTGTTCCACTCTGCAAAGTACAATAAGTCCATAGTTATTTTTTCACTTATAGTTTATAGCTATAAAAGATGGGCTCTAAAGTGATATGATCACATATTAAGAGCTGAATGCTTTAATTGCTTGGTGTGTTAAATTGGCTACTTAAAATGGACATCATTGACTTACTAAAAATCAAAGGAAAACAGTTGTACATTCAGTTTTAAGATATCCAGAGAATGTAATTGGAACATTTTTTATGTACTTAGAACAGGGTCTACAGGGTCTCACTACACAGGTTGGGCTTATAGTGATCTTCCTGTTTTCAGCCTCCCGAATACTGGGCTTAGAGGCGTGTGCCACCAACCCCAGTCTAAGTTGCTGTCTCAGCGCACCCCGGGGACAGAGCTGGCATGGCACACTGGGGATCGAACCCTGGTGTCTGAGCCTACCTCAGCAACAAAACTAAACTAAAATTAGGTGAACATAACCACCAAAATGCCCATTATCTGTATGGCCAAAACGTAGCAGGCTCTTTCTTTGGTCCTCCCACACTGATTTTCCACTGGAGAAAGTAACTTGGGTGCATGGAGCGGCACTAGGGGCCCCCTGAGAACCTCTTAAAAACATTAAAGACAAATACAAGTTATGTTTTCCTCAATATTCCATGCTTGATCTACTTTTCAAAATTTGTACATGACACTTAAAGGCAAAAGTGGGCCTAGTTGTGCATTTTCTAGTACTGTGATTTAATTAAGGGAACATATTCATTCTGACGTATACATTGGAGATAATATGACTCCACTTTCAGCCTTAAAATGTTCGACGTGTCAAAGCACAAAGATGCAGTCAATCATCAGTGCAAAGCAGAGGCACAAAACACGGACTTGTAATTTCTGTGATTCTCAATTTAGAATACACTGTACTGTCACAGAGAAAATGTTTAGCAATGAGTGCCTGATGACAAAGTGCTTGTGTTGAAAGACACAAAATAGGAGTTTCATAAAAACAGGCCAGACCATAAAAACTCTTCCCATTTCTGAATTAAAATGCATTTTACCATATGAAAGTTCTTCAAATGAATGCATTGGTCACTTGAGAATGCGCTGGCGTATTTCATCTACTACGCCATTTAATTCCCCACACCTTTCAAAAATACTGCGTGGCAAATGGAAGACAAGTGAAATCCTTTGATCCTGGTTCTACACTCATCCTCCATTGCCTCATAATTTTCACCAGATTCTTCTTGACCAAATGTAATACTGTAATGTTACATTTAAAAGCTTCCACTTTGTTTGCTTAGCAATTAATTTGTTCTCTATCACTGCAAGAAATTGTGGGTGATATGTGACTAGAAAAACACAAATGTAAAGGTCCTTACAACTTGCTCCTTTTTTAAGAAAGGGAACAGTACCGTGTCCCAACCTTAGGTAATAATGATGTTGGAAAGAACACTGGGTTAGGGTTAGAAAGATCTCAAATCTCCAGTTCCAGATTTTATAATTTTATATGTAACTGTACATTTGAGACTTTATTAGTGATAAATTACAACTCAATACAAAGAGAATCTGAGCAAATTCTTAGTTATAAGAACTAATAATGATAATAAGGAATTGATAATTTGTCAAAGGAAAGTGTTACTAGTAATGGAGTCGCATAACTGAACATCCCGGACACTTGGACAATGCAGACGGGATTCTGTTCCTTCACTGACCACAGGTTCGTCACCCTACATAGGGTTTGCTTCTTGCAGGCTCTCCCTTGTGTGGTAATGAAAGCAAAGCAGCCAGGAGCTCTAGGTTTAAATACTTCCAGCGTTATCTTTCAGATAGCTTTTCTTTCTGAAGAGCTCTAATGCTTGGCTCTTACATACATTTCACAGTCTGAACTTACTCTGTCTCATGTTTAGATTTATGATTGTAATGGTGCCCGCTTTCGGCTGTTTCATATTAGGAGCTACTTAGTGTCCGTTTGCCAAGTTATAGATGATTCTAAATTTATAGTTAAGTCATAATGTCTGCCAAATCTCTGTATGGTTGCCCAGGCTGGTCTTTGTGAAGCTCAAGGGTTCCTCCTGTTTCAGCCTTCTCAGTAACAGACGACCGCCATGTACCACCACATGTCTTGATTCCATTCTTTGAAGGCAATGTCTAATTATGATTTTTCTATCATTTCATCTTCATTTATCAGCTGACTTCTGTCAGAGACTGTCAGAGACTGAGAATCTCACTGTCCCACCCTAAAAGAAATTAGGAGTATCTAGCCAGGAGCATAAAACAATCGCTTCGTCTTATTTGTAAACAAGGCGACATGCCCCTCCAAAAAATTCTGCATCAAATATCATAAATCTTTTATTTTCCTGCTTTAATTTCTGTAGTCTGTTCTTACTGGCAAAAAGTCCATTTATCAGACTTTCAAATGTTGGCTCCCCCTTCTTTCCCTCTTCTGGAATTGTAAAGCAAGCAAAACCAAGGTTCCAAATGGAGAATATTGAGCTCCGAATTAATAGGTTTCCAGAGGCAGCAGGGAGCTACTTGTCACTTCACCACGTGGTTACTGCTTGCTGAAGTCTTACGATATTTTGTGCCACTGTTCTTTGCAGCAGTCCTAGAAAGGCTGCTGCCGCCTGTGGGCTGCACTTGGCCCACCTGCC